TGCTGCTCCACCCCTCAGCTGAATGCTGCCGAGATTTGAGTCGTTGTAAATGTGTCTGAGTCGAGAATCTCCTGCTGTGTTGTTCATGTATGAAAGGCAAGCTCTGCAGAGAGGGTGGCAAAAAAAAAATTCAAAAAATCTCAGACACATGGTGATAATCCTCATTTAATAGTTTGTTAATGTATTATAGATAATAAGAAATATACATGATATTAAAAGTTACAAGAGCAAAAAAAAGGAAAACTGTAGAAAAGTGTATATTTCATTTACAACAGAAATTTTCTTGATTTGGGACTTGAGTCACAGGAAGGTGTGTGCACCAATCAGCTCTGCTGTCAAGCCGAATGACAGTAATTTTCCAACATCCAAACCTGTAGGTTTCTGATACTCGTAGCCACTCTTCAGCCATAGAAAACCTCTGCGAAAAATGAATAGTGTGAGTAAACTGGTGTAATTATTCCCCCAGCACCCGCCGTCCTCTTTCTCAAGGCATCACGGGAGCTGTGGAACAAGACCATGGCAGCCCACTGTCACTGCTCCACTCAGAGTCAGATTTCCTCAGAAATGTTCAATCCAAACCAAAAATAGAAAGTCATCAGTCTATTTCTATTTAATTGATTTCACAGGGTCACAGAGGTCATGCCATCAAGTGATGTTCTTAACTGGTCCAGTCTAGCCACTTGCCCATGAGCATTCATTTCCTCCACAGTACGCTGAGAGGGGCTTTTTTCTGTCCTATATTTACCATGCGTGACCTCCCAAAGATTGTTTTATTCTGATAAGAGCCTTCATACCATTACAGATAAAAAGACTGAAACACAATCTCATTCTCACCAGTTAATATTTGTAAATTGAAGATCAAATGAGATGAAACCTCAGAAATGCCGTGTCACTTTGTTTGTCAAGGATTAATATCATCAGAGTTTATCAGCTGATTTTTCCGACCAGAGCTGCTGCTGCTGTGAGACAAAAACAAAAAAACACATAAAAGCAACAGCAAGATCTTTTTTATTGTAGTTAGATTCTCTTTTTGAATACTGCTTGATTATTATAGAGTTATAGTTTTCCTTTATAACATATAATACCAAAGTTAGGGACCTATTAGGTTCAGTAGATTATCTTATTTTAAAAGCTAGCAGCATAATCACCAGTAAATTCCACTGATGCAACATGCAATTGTTTTTTTAGCTCCCAGAAGCTTTGAGTGGAACATACATAATTGAAATGTTATCTGTAGGACATGTGTATGCATATGGCAGCAAACCTTAAAAGCAGATGTTCATAGTTTGTTGCTCTCAAGTGCAGCCTCCTTCAGTTTTGAGCCAAAAAAACGTTCAAAGTTTGGACATCTTCAAGAGTTCAGGGAAGGAAGTCCACCATGTAAGTATCATAAGAGGGAGACAGTACAGTAGCAGTAACAACAGAGAACTGCTTCAGTTTGAGTTCATGCCTCAGTGAACATTTACTTTCTGGCTTAAATAAAGGAATGGATAATTTATATATATATGTATTCATGTAGGTGTTCATATTCTAGACAAAACCTTTTTCTAAACACAACACTGCCACCCTAAGTCCACATGGCAAACTTGTTGCTTATTTACACATTCGGCCAACTCAGAACAACAATTATCTTTCTTGTGGAATCATGTCTCTTGGCCATCTGCTGAATAGAAATGCAATATTTTCTAGTCTCTCTATTTTGGTCTCCACCAACTCCTGAGGGAAATATATTTGTCATTAGCAGCTAAATGCTCCACTATATTCACTACCTTCTGTCATGTGGTGCTAAACAGGAAGTGTACAGTGTATTTTAATGCTTGTTTGCTGCCATTAAAAACATTAGTCATGAGATTGGGGAAAGGCAAAAGCAGTTTGTTCGCTTTCTTGAAAACTCCCCAAAAATTCACTATAATTTGCCATAGAGATCGACAGAACTGGGAATTGTAGAGTCGGGTGATGAGTCTCTGAGTTCATCTCTTCTCATACAGTCAAGTAATCCATTATAAATGTGAAGATATTGATTATAGTTATAATAACTTTGCTATGGCCCCATTAGCAGCTACTCCTTAGTCATAGACAAGTTTTAAATATCAGAAGTGAGGAAATATGGAGACCACTGTAATAAAACTCAGGTAGGGCAACGTGTCTTTGAATAGAAATGAACCGTTTAGATTGAGTTTATCGCAATACATCGTTCAATTTCATCATCTCATCAGGTCATGATCCATCTCCATCAAGTGTTACCATATAGATGAGTGTTACAGGCTCAGACACAACCACTCCCAGCTCTGAATAGCAGCAGCCTGCTGTGCTTTGTACTCGGGGAGAACATTTCAATCTTAGCTGAGATCCCATCAATTTTCACTACATAGCTGAAATGGGAAGAAAGAAACAGTCGAGATGGGTTTTGAAAAATGCTTTGCAACAGGCTTAAGGATGTGAGATATCGGATTGCTCTCTGGGCCACTTACACTTAAGGCACAGCATCAGACTCAGTCAGGGTGTGTTAATAATAATAACAATAATCATATTTCTTTTATATATCACCTCACAAAACAGTTACAAAGTATACCAAAAATTAAAACGACAACTTAATGATAAACAACAGAAATAATATTGTGCTATATTAAATTAGATATATAAAAGTGAGTAAAATAATCAACAAGTTAAGAGCCAGGAGAGCTTGAGAGTTTTATATAAATGTATGTTTTAAGAATTGACGTATATAATTCAGTATTCATATTCCAAGCCCTGATTAAGCTCACTCATAAAAATGTGTCTTTAAAATGTATTTAAAAGAGGATAAGAAGCTCGCATCTAATAGAAAATGCCGTGTCCCCAGCAGAAACTGTGGATTGGAAATATTATCGATCCGAGTTGAAGATGATGGATCCTTTTAACCGCGTACTTGCGAGTCAGAGCTTGATCCAATTTCTCCTGCATCCAGACTTTTCCTACATTTAAAATATCCAGTTACAATTGGATGTGTGCCAGAAAAACAAGTCCACTTTCCAGCTACTTTTGTACATATCAACACAATCAACAAAATAAAATGAAAGTGATGTTGCATTCATTTAAGAGGATAAAAGCATGTTTCCGTCTTAATCAGCTCAGCCGGTCCTCTTTTACAAGGAGCGTTGCATTTGGGAGCAAGCGGCACAGTCTGTTGGTACTCCCACACTTTGGCCGACATAAATAGAGATGGTGGTGGGAGCCTTTTTGGGCCAAACTAACTATCAGCGAGCAGACGTATTGATTTTCTGTAGCATGAGAGACACAAAAAGCAGCTACCAGAGGGAACGACTGGGGCAACTGGAGCGTCTAGCGAAGGGCATGAACATCTTTAAATGAGCATACGTTCCCAAAGACGCGCACATTACACATGCACTCACACTTTCTCTGAGATGAGGAACAGATGCCACCCTCTTCCTCGCTTCTCTCTACAACCCACCCACTCCATACAAGATGTCCCACTTTCTGTGAGAAACCCACAAACAACTGTTTTCCTTCACACATGATCCAAGCTGCCAAGGGTGTTAATGTGTGTGTGTGTGTGTGTGTGTGTGTGTGTGTGTGTGTGTGTGTGAGTGTGTGAGTGAGTGTGTGAGTGAGTGAGTGAGTGTATGTGTGGTGTAGTCTGATAAACACAGGTGCTCACCTTGTGAGCTCTGCTTTATCGTAATCATCAAACTTTGATTTCCCGTTCAAAGTGCTTTCTTGTGCTTCAAATCATTTGCAAGCTTCCAGTGCTCTGTGCAAACTTTTTGATGACGGATTGTTTGATGGATATGTTCTCAGATCTTAAAAGTGAAAATTGACCTGTCGTATTTATAGTTTTAGTATCAAATAGTGTACCCAGCACCTGTCATCTTAAAAGGTGGCTGTTAAATGTTCTTACACATAGAACTAGATTCATTTAACTCATGTGACTTTTCATGTGAAGTATTAAACAACCATGTGATCTAGAGCACACAGTCACAAATAAAGCTTTTAAAACTAGAACATTTCAATAAACAGAATGTCTCACAGATCAAGGCCATGATGCACCAGTTCTAAGCTCCAATTTGGCTGATGTTCAAAGATCCCCATCTATTGCACCATAATCCACTTCTCTCGCTCACTGTGTTCAAAAACACATAATACCTCACTATTTAATCAAATTAGGTTAAACATACTTGTCACAAGTAATAACTACTGTGCTAACTAAATGTTTTGAGCACAGAAGACAGTGAAACAACAAAAAAGTTAATTTATCAGTGCTCCCAAAGAGATGTGATGTGATGTGGTGTGTGACTGGTCATACTACTTAATTAAAGTTAGTGACAGATCGCCTTATTGTGGAAATATCCTGGAGAGCTAAAGGTAGATTGGGGCATATCATTTGTTTTGTTTTGTCATATTGTTAATTATTTATATTACCATGAATGTGTAATACATTAGGGAACATTTATTTGACGTTTATCAGCTGCAAAAAAAACAACTTAATGTTAGGGCATGCTCACACATACAAGAATGCAAACTGAATATTGCAGGTCAGAGTTCACCAGAGTTAAGCCACACTGCAGATTTACAGCGCCACAGGAAGAAAATGTTTTACCCGCCCCCTCCCTCAGACAGATGGGAGTCGAAACTTTGCCACTGCTACATTCGCATATGCATGACTGGTTCCTTAGGCGTCAACCTATACACAGCGGACTAATAATACTGCATGAGAAACTAATGTTGAGGGAATATCAATGAGACCCATTCAGAGTTTAGCTTGAGGTGGATATTGGATCAAGAAATCCAATAGCATAAACAGTATCTCATCTTTGTGAAACAGTGTCTCAAATATAATCCCTTCAACCTAATGTCGACATTTAACCATAAAAACCGACGAGTCTCTGTAAAAAACAAATCAAATCTAAACAAAGGCGGCATCGTGAGAAGACAATTTAATCCTCCTGCTTGTATATGCTGTGCCTCTCACGAAAGTCAAACTTTGCTTGTGTCTGATATAGGTGTGACCATGAAGCTGATGGATGAGGTCGCTGGCATCGTTGCAGCTCGGCACTGCAACACCAACATTGTCACCGCCTCTGTGGACGTCATCAACTTCCATCGCACGATCAAGAAAGGTGAGAACAACGCAGAGAATCTATTCAGAGCTTTAGGTCACTGATACATAAAGATTGTTCATAGTTGTAAGGAATACAAACCTCTACAGTACGAGTAGTGTTGTGTTGATGCAGGAAGCTCTGTCCATTTTCCATGAAGCTGCTTTTTATACATAAGTGAAGTGTACTCTGTAAAACCACAATTAGGATAATGTGGAAAAACTCAGCAGTCTATAAATTCAGCCTTAACACCAGACTCACTGTTTCTAATAAAGACCAGTTGTGTTCTGTTGCTGCATCTGGAAACACACAACTTTATTATGATTTAGGTATTTTCCATTACCAAGCTTTATCTCAGAGGTGTGACCTCACTCAGTGAACGTTTCAGTAAACATGATGTGCTATAAATGCCAAATGTTAAATGTCATACTAGGGCCAATATGGTGTCTCAGTATATTTGTCATCATATTTTTCATTCGTTTGAGAGGCACTGCACTAAACTCTTGTAATTAAAGTGAACCACTGGGATAAAGGTTTTATTTGCAGCACAGTTTGGTTGTTGTCCAAACAAGGGAACAAACAGAACAGCTACCCACCTATAGACAGAAAGCACTGTTACAACAAAGTCTTCTTTGGTCCTTTTATGGAATCTAAATATGCTAAAAGTGACTGAAAGCAGTTTCTTCAAAGTGGCAGAGCACAGCAGTGTGTTACATTTGCATGACATCGTTTTTTTTCTCAGCTCAGTGTTTGTGCTATCTGTTCAAGTGCTGGACGTGATGTGATCCAGACATCCACATGTTATGATTATCTCAGGATATGATGTTAACAGAGGACTAGCTTCATCTATCCCCATTGTTGAGTTATGAAGTGGCAAGACATTTTTTGTACTGGCTGTCAGCTCAGCTCCGACTGCACTGCATGTTCATGCAGTTTCAAATACTGCTGACTTTGTTCAAGCTTAACAAGTCACTCAGTTCAAAAGTGTTTTTCCAAAGTAAGTCTGAGTACGTGGTGGTGGTGGTGGGGGGATTATTTGACATTTAAAACACACCTCTCTGTCCCTGCTTTCAGACAAGCACTGAGGTACAGATAATCTTCAGAAATTCTTCAGAGGGGCTTTATGTGAGAACGCAAATGTCCGAATCACAGAGTTTCTCTTACCAGCCTCTGAGTTAAAACCCCGTATAATGTCCAAATGAGCCCATGTGAGACACACAGCAGGAGACCCTTACCCCTAACCCCTAACCCCTAACCCTAAGAATATAAATATCTCAGGATGAAAATAATTTGTGTCATGAGTTTTTGGTGATAAAGGCTGACACTGTTGTCGATGTGCTGTAAAGAAAAACATTATGTTATGTCCTGCCTCTGAGATTTCTGTGTTGTAATATAAACGCATCTGTACTGCTGTCTTGTTCGTGTGTGAAAGTTTGAACCCAATGTGCACACATTCTCCAGAGTTCATGTCAGAAAATGGCTTGTGAGTTACCAGAAAACTGAAAATGATAGACTTCAGTTTAGATCTATGTCCACATCTCTCAGATGCTCCCTATCGCTCCAGTTGTCTCCTTCTTTCCTCTGAGTTTAGGAGGTGGTGACATGATTTTATCTGGCTTCCACTGTGACATAGGTGTTGTGTCACTAGTAGATTTTTCAATTTGGTGAAGGAGCTTCGTAGGAAAACAATGATCAAGGATTAAAACACAAAGCCAGATGAAAACAGCTCCTACAGCACCTATGGATGTACTATACAGTGTGTATTTCCTCTGGATACTTTCTCTAGCTTGCTAAGTGCAGATAATGTGCATCACTTGAGATGTTTGCTGCACAGATCCAGCAGAGGTTGAATTCAAACTAGTAAAAGGATCCAAACTATAAGTACAGACAGTATTCTTATCGCAGGGGAGATGAATAATTAAATAAATAGGTGATAAACACACCATTAGAAAGCAGCAGAGAGGGTCTTAAGTCTACTCTTGAAGCAGGTAGTTGAGTCACATCAGAGATATTGGGTCATTTGTTTCTTAGATGTGTCTCTCAGTAACTGATGAAGCCTCAGCAGACTCTTTTCCACTCATTCTTGGAAAAGCAAACAAGTTATTTACAGAGGCTCCTTGAGGTGTTATGGTCTGGTACAGGCAGGTCAGCAGTATGTACTGGTGCTAAGCTGTTTAATGATTTATTTACAGACAGTAACATTTAGAATTCTGTCCTGTAAGACACTGGAGGCCAATATTAGGTCTGTAGAACTGGTGTGGTGTGTTCCCTTTTCAAACAAGGGAAGTTGATGGACAGGAAAGTTTTACTTTAATAATTAAATTGATCAGATCTCAACAATGCCAGGGCCAAAGCATCCTGCACATGATTGTCTCGTTCTTATTGTAGAAATATTACAGAAAATAATCCCCTGAAAATTGAATGAAAACTGTCCTTTGCAGTGAACAAGAAGCTGAGCCGCAAGGCAAAGCGTTTGATTTAATCTTCTTTTCAACCCTCATCTATGCTCAGGATCTTTGGTAGTGACCAAAAGAACAAGGTCACTAATACAAGTGGCTAACATGAGTTATCTCCATGAGGTCGTTATGTCTCTGTGTTGATAAGGTGAGGAGTTCAGAACCGCTGCTCCATGTTGAAAGGGGACAGTTGAGTTAGCTCAGGCATCCAGTAGGGATGGGGTTGGGGTTAGGGTTCCTTCCTTTGGAGGTTTACTGGGCACGTGAGTCCAGCTGGGAGGAGACCACAAGAGACCTAGAACTTGCCAGATGAATTTTGAAGGTTCCACTGTCTCAAACCAGAACAGTCACGGACCGGAGCCAATCCCAGCTGACATTGGGTGAGAGGCGGGGTACACCCTGGTTGCCAGCATATCACAGGGTTGACATATAGAGACAAACAGCTCACACTCACATTCAAACTTTTACCGTCTCTAATTAACCTAAACCCAATGTCATTGGACTGAGGGAAGCCGGAGAAAGCCCATGCAGACACGGGAAGAACATGTAAACACATTTACACCAAAAAACTATTGTGTTGTTAGGCAACAGTGCTAAACCACTGCACCACCAATACGCCTATAAGAAAACTATTGAAAGAAATAATACCATAGACATTATACTTAAACTGTTATGAATTAATTAATCATTTGTAATTCTATTAAAATATTACTATTTTATTTGCTTATTTGTCCTCTTATTCTATTCCTCCTCCGTCATTTGTCATTTTCAGTTTAGAGAATCAGTTTTGTCAAACTTGACAAGCGGAGGCATTAAATTGAGTCTGAAACATTCAGTCGCTGCCCTCACATTACTGCTTGTAAATCACTTGTTTATTAGACTCTTTCCTGTTCTCTGACACAGTCAAGTGATGCAAACTTTGTAAAAGGTAAAGAAACTGCCTGATTTTGAGCTGAGAATATGTCAGTGAGGTGCCGGCCAATATACCACAATGCTCAGTCAGAGCTCTTCTCCTTTATTCATTACAGTAAAATGCCCACAGGTACAAAGACTGAGAAGAAAGGCATAAATCTTCAAAAGGTGAAAGTCAGTTGAAAAGAGATTTCAGGGAGAGAGAAGAAAGTGCTCAAGGTGAGAGAGAAAGTGTGGGAGAAAGAAATAAGTTGCAGAACTTGTGAAGCATAATGAAAACTTCCAACGATATTCTTATTTATTTAACTTAAATCTTATTTAATTGATCCAATTTAAAGCCAGGTTCAGCTGGGGTCTTTCTTTTTGGAGTTTGCATGTTCACCACATCTCTGCGTGGGTTTGGGTGGTCAACACTTGAAAATGCAAATTCCAATTTCCAGAAAGCCCTGGGAATACAGGAAAATGTCTGACAGCAAACAAAATATAAATTTTAGTAGATTCTTTTGGTCTTGTTTTCACAACCTGACCAACATTTTCCCTCTTGTCCAAAAAAACCCAAACTCAGACTGTAGCTAAAATAGCAAATCTAGCTCAAAGGCGTTACAGTCCCAGTTTAGTTCATCCGACATCAAGACCTGGCCTGGACTCGCCTCAAAGCAGATTAGCTGCTTTAAACAGTTCCTCAGAGATCGGACTCAGACAGTTTTTCACGTTGGTTGACCTTCAGTACTGCACAAATCCATGATCCACTTTCTGCATAAATCAATTATTAATCATGAAGGTCTTTTAAAAACCACTGAGTCTCATCAAGGCTAATTTTTGGGGGTGTGATGTCAGTGAGCAGAGCATGCTTCAATAATCCTAATACATCTGCATCAGAGCTAGTTTCTCTGAATAAGTCAGGCTTCTTAAGGTAACACAAAAACAGTTAAAGGACCACACAAGGATATTTTCAGTGGTAACAATGCATCCAAATAAATGCTTTGTTACTTTGCATTGCCCTTATCCTGTTTTCTTATACAACCATGCAATCCATCACCTTTTCAGAGTTGATGTGATTTCAGAACACCAATCTGATATAGCGTGTGGATATGTGACCCAAGAGTCAGGCCAGGATTGGACAAACATTTTGAAAAGATATTTGGGTTTGGGCTGGGTTTGGTGACATTGGCTGGGCTATGCTTGATTTTTCATGCTTTTCATTACGTTACATTACTGTAATTGGAGAAAACACTGGGCTCAGGCCTGGTTCAGACACAAAAACAGAATGGTGCGGTTCATTTTCTCTTGGGCTTGGTCTAATTTGGACCGAAAATTGTAGCCCGAGCCACGCTCCATTCTGATAGAGGTTAGCAACCAGGGTACAAAAAAAATCCACTCCCTGTCATTTTTGCTCCAGTGCACAGCACAACTCTTTCACACACAAGTTTGAGAAAAAACATTGTTTGTTAGAGCCATGGATGTATGACAATAACTACATACACGGAACATCACACCCCGGGAAAATGCTTCCTCTTCTCTTCCCTGTGTTTTGTGGCCTAGGAAATGTGTGCATCAGCATGTCTTTCTCAGACCTTCCTCTCCCGATCCTTAGACTTTACATCAAAAGTCTTTCAGCGCTCTGGGAAGCTTTACAAATATGAAACCTCCACATATTAATTCTCCTTGTTTGACTTTTTCTGTCAACTCTTTTTTAAATGGAAGTCTATGAGGGAAATATGGTTGGTTGAGCATAGCCAGAGAAAAAGAGCAGAACTTTTTTTTCCTGTTGAAATAAAAGTTCACAGGATGTATACTCAGACTTTTGAAAAGTTGCCAATGAAGTCTGTTGAAAGAGATTTATCCAAGGGCAGTAACACACCAGATTTAGTAACAGTGTGACATTTTCCATTTGTATGTGTGTTAATAAGACTGAGGATTTTCCAAATCTTTTCATTATTATTTTGATGCAATATGTTGAGATCCTTCTTAAAAATAATTATATTGGACTCGAGCTTCCTCCCAGTCCAATGACATGCAAAAAGGGGTGAGGTAAATTGGAAACACTAAGAAATGCTGGCGACCTGTCCAGGGGGTACCCCGCCTCTCATGATGGATGGATGGATGGTTGGGTAGGTGAGTAAATGGTGGATGGGTAGTGGTTGGTTGAATGGGTGGATTGATGGGTGGGCGGATAAGTTCCTTCAAAACCAACCATATATTAAAATCCACTCTGATCTATAACATCTGGTTAAGGCCAAGTTAAGATAGCAAAATAAAAAACTACTTGGTATGATTATTAAATACATAATTTTGATACACAGCATATGTGTCATGGTTAAAATAAACAAGCCTATAGGCAGTACAGTGGAAACACTGTCTCTGATGTCAGATCACATACTTCATACTCTCTTTTGTGGTAGTACTTTACAAAGCCAGTATAGACATTGACAGTAAGAACTTGCATATCAGGAAAACATTTGAATCATTTGATGGTCAGTGCTGTCATTCATCAGCCAGTGAGAACAGCCACTGCCATGAATTTAATGAGTAAAAGAGCTCTGAACAACACCCATGTGTAGTTCCTGTAGCAACTGTTCTCATAACGTCAGATTAGGTGGCAGCAACATATTTTGATAAAAACACTTTATTCACTTCTGCATCTTTTATTATTTAAGACAAATACTATTTTATAAAATCTGTCATATTCTGGAGGTATGTCTCAGATGGCAGGGATAACACCTTCCCTCACTGTCTCTATGGCAACAGCAGTAATAATACAGTACAGACTCATGAAAGAGAATAAAGAAACAGATCTGCGGGGCCCAGTATTATTACTGGACTTTTTTCCTCTATATCTCTGCAGTGACTAAAGGAGAGGAGCAGTCATTTTTCATGATTGAAACTCAGGATGAATTTCAATGAATCTCAGGTTGAAATCCGCAGCAGTGGACATGAAGTGTCCTCTGAATTCATGGTAACAAACACTGATCTCTTTAAAAAGGTTTTAAAAAAAATACAGCTTAACTTTTCTCATCTATTTGAGCACGAAAAAGAAGATCCTAATTTGTATTAATCTAAAAAGTGAAGGATGGATCAACTGGCTGTAGTTCTGAGTGGAAAAGACTTCTACAAGTTCATGATGCAACAATGTGAAGTCAATTGCAAAAGCAGATGTTAAATTTTCTTCAGTTGACAACGTACCAGCTAACTTCATGTTCAGTTTGTGTTCAAAACAAAGACACATCAAGGTTCTTAATTTGATTTCAACATTTTTGAGTGTGAGTTAATTACAACAAAATATTTATAGTTTTGTAAAACCTGATAACTCTTGTAGAACTCCTTTTTATCCTGTACAGAATTAAATTCCTGTAGGTGGCTTAGGGACAGATTTTTTGAGCTAAGAGTCACACATTGGAAATGTTAATACATCAAATTGATTAAATTTTTCCCTCTTCCCTCTAAGGCTGCGTTGTGACGGTGACTGGGCGTCTCACATTTGTCAGTAACAAATCAATGGAAATTGAAGTGATCGTAGATGCTTCCCCACTGATGGAGACAGAAAAAGGGAAATATCACGCGGTGTCCGCCTACTTCATCTTCATCTCCCTGGACAAGTACAACAGGACTCTCCCTGTTCCTCCTCTAAAGGTCGGTACCATCCAAGCTGTGCACTCTGGAGCTTTATTAAAACCTGAATGTTGAATTAATTTGATCCTTCATCTCTCTATGTACATTAACACAGGCCATTTATACAGAAGAGTGAAATTTGAGCATGAGAGACACCGTCCTTTATTTAGTAATCCTGCCTATGAGCGTATTTTGAGTACATTGAATTCTTTGCTGTGTCTACGCTCGGCCCACAAGCACCAGGGGCTTAATGCTAATATCCCCCCCAACATCCCAAGATGGCAACGTCTGGTTGACTCAGCACTTGTTGTGCAGATGTAAAGTGCGTATATTTACCTGCAGGAGAGGGAACGCCTGCTGTTTGATCTGCCCCCTCAGCACACGATGATTCCAAACCCTGTTTATATGCAAACACTGTATGCACTGGCCATCTGTTTAAATCAGCACATTAAATTAAGTTATTTCCTGGCACCGCTCACGCACCCTAAATGTCTCTGTGATGATCCCTTTAAAACCCATCCAATTTATGCATGAGATGATGTCAGCTTGTCAGTGAGTGGGGTTGTGACAAGAGAAGAGCGCTTTAAATTTTATTCCAATCGCTAAATAAAGGATTGAGTAGATTGCGATTAATTTAAACGTCAGCTTTTATTCTATTTCACTGATAATAACAATCCCTTCATATTTCGAATTGACACTGATAATCTGTTTAATTTTGAAATGTCTTGCTTGGTTGATTTGTTTGCTTCCCTGCACAACATATGTGTTGTTGATATATGGATTGATATGATTAGCTTTGCATTTCAGTCAAGCTAAATCCATAAAAATGTCTTGAGTCGACTTGGCATCATCAGTGAAATGTGACAGACCAATAGCAGTTTATTATTTTCTGTAGTGCACCTGGGGCAATCATTAAACTTTAAGTATGGGGCAGAGTGTACGCCAGGGAAGTGCATTGAAAGTGAATATGATAAGGTAAAAACAAACCTGTATATTTTCTCCTGCCTTAACCTAAATAATGTCCCACCATGTTTCAAGTAAAACGAGCTTGTAATGAGAAACTTGGATGAAGAAATCCAAGCTTGGCTGAGACTGAAACGTGGAAAACAGATGCTATAAGTGCCATCGAGGGTTAACCTGACCCTGCCAACCTTAATTATTCATGTTCTCATACATGTAAAGGTGCAACATCAGCATTTAAAACCATGACACGTCTATTTCAGAATAGTGAGCTTCAAATCCATGTCCCGCTGGTCAGCCCGTTCTAAAGTGTCTGTGCGTATCCCCATCACCATTTCACAAAAAACCCACATTTGGTTCATCTATTGTCCACCTCCCTCTTCGAATTCATTACCTGTGTATCCATCTTGCACAAGCTGCTCTTTGCTTCTTTTTCAATAGCAGAGAGTTGCAGTGATGATTAGAGTCATTGTATTTTCTCTGTTCACCTCAATTTTATGAAAAGAAAGCCTGAAAAAAATATCTTGGTGATGTTAATAATTCATCCTCAATGCTATAATTGGAAATCTAAATGGAGCCCTGGGCTGCCAAGGGCTCTGATGTAGCATGTCAGATAAACAAGTGCAGGAATCGAGAAGTGTGTGTGTGTGTGTCTGGGTGTGTGGGAGAGAGAGAAAATGTTGGACAGAGTTGCAATATAGACAGACTTATGTGTCAGAGGAAGACAAATAGAGCTCCTCCTTATACAGGTCTGTATGTGTGAGAGAGGGCTTTGTGTGTGGATGTGCACGTGCTTGAACAGATCACGGAGCACAAATGCCTGTGTTTATTTATACGAGTGAGAGAAGGATGGGGAGGCTCAATCAAGGCTATTTCTGGCTTCGTAAGTATTTACTAAGGGCTTCAACATGGGATGAGGTTGACTCAAAATGAGGGGGGGCGGCGGTGTTAAAATCTATTGATAGCAATTATAATAGATGTCAGTCCCTCTGCTTGTAGAGGAGATGTGTCGCATTCAGGAAATAAGGTTTAACACGTCAATCTAATCAACACCTGGATTTCCCTGAGCAGTGGAGATGGGACTGTGAGGGAGGGAAACACAGAAATGACAATTATTTGCCTCGTAAGCCAGATGATATCGAGTTGAGTAAAGCACGAGAAACGTTTTGCCTCCCTTTACTTATAATTTTACCTCGGTAAAATACTACACTTTGTCATATTAACTAGTCCTATCAAATAACATTTCAATTCGGGAAATGCATGAACGAACAACAGCAATGCAGATGTATTTTCCAAAAACACCCAGTAAAAACAGTCACCACTGTCATTTTTCTGCCTTCGAGGTACAATAGTTACTGTTTCTATGACAACAAAAAGTTTCTTCAAAGATCATCCTCCAGAGAACAAGACTTTCCTCCTCTGTGTTATAATGACAACATGGCTGATTACTCACAGCCCATAGCTTTGCATTAACACTGGAAAAAGTAGGTTATATCTAAACTGGCTCACACCACAAATTCTGTCCACCAGCACTCAGCAGTGTAGAAATGACAAACTGCAGTGTTACAAAGGTCAAGTGCCCATTTCAAGACTCAAGAAAGTAACTGTGCCTTGAATACTTCCTCAGGTAACCACAAGATGGCGTTTTCACACTTTTATTTTTTATAGTGATTAGACATGTTAGACTATCAATAGAAAAAATAAACCTCTATTCTTCTCATGAGCCTATAATCACCTGAAACTAAGAATTGTTGCTTTTTGTTATAGATTGAGCCCTTTTAATCAGAGGGTGGATTGTTGGAGTCAGCCATATTGCTCAGTCATATTTCTACAGTAGCCTAGAATGGACAAACCAACACACTTTTTTACTTGGCCTGATAACCATTGGGTGCTCTGAAAGGCTTGGAAGAAGGATAATTAAGTTGGTTGCAATGTGCAACCACTCTTTAGCACTAGATGCCACTAAATCCTTCACACCGAACCTGTAGTTCATGAGCTGCTATACTTAGCTAACTTCTGCCAAAACTGATGTAGCTAAATTTTAAGCATACAAACATGAGAGCAATATTTATTTTCTCGTCTGACTCTTGGCAAGAACTTAAAATAAGACCTCAGAAAATGCAGTACCAAACTTCCTTGAAAGATCATGCTACTTTATCTTGTACGATTTTATAAAACTGCATTTTTCCTTCTTCCTCCTCCTCCTCCTCCTCCATCTTCCATTAAGCTAACCCCAACCGCCTTTGCCATAAAAACATACTCTACGTCAGACCAACTTCAACTGCTTGTGCTGAAAATGCCTGTCATAGATCAAACAAAGCGCCTCATAAAACAAACATCTCTTACTATTTAATCCAGGTCGTGAATTCTTAATTTGAATATTGTTTACCTGTAACCTGAATAGCAAACACTGACAAAATCTCATGAAACATGAGGTTAAATTTAACTGCCACAAAGTCCCTTTGATCTTGCGTTCTCCGCATAATCCATTCACATTGACAGTGATTATGTTTTACACAGGACAAGCATCTTTGCACATCTTATTTTCAAAACGTTTCAGAGGACCAGCCCAAGTCATCTCCTCTTCTCAATTCCCACCAGAATTTAATATCTTACATCCTTCGACTTGAATGCAAAAACATCCCCGTAAGCTAAAAATAAATGTCGAACCTCCACCGAACCTGATGAAACCCTGTGGCAGATTTCGCTCCAGTTGCATTCTATAAATATCTTGAAGGAAAATAGCTTCAGCTATTTTTGACTGCAGGTGCTTTTCCCTGATTCTCTCATTCTGGCTTTCTCTCAAGTGAGCCTGCTGCGTTTACTATCTTTAGATTTTCCTGTTTTGCTCAGCGGGGGGTTAGGGACACACTCTTTCTATCTCTCTCTCTGTCTGTGTGTGTGTGTATGTGGGGGGTTGTAGATGAGCTGTCACTAATGTTGCATACTGTGGGTACTGCTGAAGTAGGGAAAGAGGACAGCATGAGCAGAGGGGAGGATATCAGGGGGATGCTTTGCCTCTCTGCACCAGTACCCTTGAAAAGTACTGAAATAATATATGTGCAGGCTGGGCCCAGGGTAGATGTAATCGAAAATGCCTGAAGGCACCTTAGGCGGTCTTGCATTTTGGATTATTTGTAAGGGTTAGCCATTGCCCCAAGGTTAGAAAAAGAGGCTCATTACCAGGAGCTCTGCACTTTGTATCCTTATCCAGGACAAAGTGAATACCAGCTGGTAGTAGGAGAATGTGGTTGTACTGTGGTTCCACTGGGCAGAAAACAAGTGTGGATGTGTGTTATGTGATGAATAAAAAGCTTAAAATCCATTTAAAGGTTGAAACAACAATAATAAGTGAAAAAATTCCATGTGAACATAGCATATAGGTTTTGTCCTCATATCTTGCTTTTCCTGACTATTCTTCATTCTTGTTTCATAATATCTCTTCCTCCTGCCGTCTTTTACTCCTCCCTTCATCTCCCCTTTCCTCTCTTCCTCCATCTCACCCCCTCCTCGCTGACAGAGGCTCAGCTGGCCTCCCTTGACACAAAAACAAGCCTGGTTGTCATGGCAACCCCATCGTAGTCCACATGAAGTGATGTACATTTATTTTTAGATGCGTCTCATTCAAGACAATCAGCAACGGGTTAACAGGTATACACTCGTGCCAGAGTAGCAGATATTTCCTCCTCTGTAGTAATGCTTGGCATGACAGGGAACAAACTGACATTTGTCCTCATAGTGCTTCAGTGCATGAATCTGTCAAGGGTGGTTTATTTTTCATTATGCCTTATTCATGAACATGCATAAAAAGCCTTCAGTGTTCCATTTTCATAGCCAAAACTAAATTACATCCAGTTTTCACCATGTTTTGTGAGGAAATGCAACCTGGCATGATCGATTTGTGAAGGTGTTAATAATTCACATCCGTACAGCAAACTACTTTTCACCCTAACAAATAACACATACTGTAAACAAGTTTTGTTAATCACTCTTTTTGGTGTGTTCAATCTCATCCAGTTCTGGGTTCATTCATGATTTCTTACATATCCCATTAACCATTACTCAGTAGTATGAGAAAAGAAGAGTTGATTTCAATTAAAGACAGGAACATAAACAGAGGAAGCTTGTACCGATCATCCTTTATAACGTTTAAACGTTTTGCATATGGAGACTTCATCCAACTTTAATTGATCTATTACTTTTCGTATACTATGTAATAAATAAAATTAGAAAAAAAAATCAACCTAGATGACGCCAGTCAACCATGTATATAAAGATGGACGACATGACTGTTCCCCAAAAGTAAAGCCAAAGTATCTCGATGGCCACCTGGTGGCTGGCTGCAGTATAGATCATAAATCCTACCACATCCATGTTAGCAGATGGAACATGGATCAAACTAAAAAATCAACATTGAATACATTTTTCTCAACAAAAATAATCTGTAATTTTAGGTAGTTCTTAACAGAATTGAGGGGTTTGTTCAAGTGTTCATTTTCTGGTAAGTTTGGTTTGGTTATTTGATGCTATAAAAACGGGGTGACACTTTAGTCCTGATTTGTCTCCATCCTCCGATCACTACTCTGCAGACTCTGGCTTCAAATGCACAATAAGGCAGCGTTGATATCTAGCATTTTTCAGCTTCATTTCTGGATAGTGTGAGGAAGATGCATTGTCCAACTATGTCGGTAGTTTATGCAGTAGACAAATAACAGTGATAAATAATTTTTTTTTAGTAAATTTCACTCAATTTAGGGTGAAATAAACCATTCAACAACTTTGAAGCTGTATCAAGTTACCACACAGCTATTACTGGAGAGATTAGTTTACTGACTAAACATTGTAAAATATTAATCATGATCGATCTGAGAGATGTTTTGAAGAGGTCCTTTTAGCAGTCATTAGCATTTCAGAGTATTTGTATAATGTCTACAAATGAAACCCTTTTCAGTTATGTCTAAAATGTTGCATGAGTGTATCTGTTTTTCTGTGTCACACACAAACATCTACTGTAGGGTCTTCTCATTAGTTTTGGGCTACTTGCTTACAGCTCAGTGGTATTTTCGAGACCCTGGCATTTGGCAGTGCCACTGATACCCTGTGTGCCCACTCTAATAACAGCTTGTACCAACACTGAGAAACCCCTCTGGCATATTGCTGGCATTGTCTGAGCAGTCACTTTTACAAACCTTGTCCATGTTCCAAGTTTACACCATTTGGTTTGTCACACTCCATTCGACTGTTCACCTAATGAGTGACCAGCATGCCAGGTGAAGCAGCTGTTTGTCTTGGATCTTTGACCCGATTAGCCAAAGTGCTGAGGTCTGTCTTTGTCACAGTTCCTAGTAGAAGGTGTTTAGAATTGAATTTAACGATGACAATTTATTTGTTTTAGTAATCTAACACTGTGTTTTTTTTTTGGTAACATCAGTCTCTAGGTTTGTGCACTTTGGTCCAGCTTGAAATATTTGAACAACAATGGATTGACATTAAATATTGTGCTTCAAGGGTTTCCTGCATGATGTTTCCCAATGGCTTTGATCTTTCCCATGATGTCTCTCATTTAGTTTTTTTTAAGAAATTTGGTACAGACCTTTATCAACTGTAGAATTATATTTGTCTTAAAGTTATTATAAGATTTTTATTATTCTGCCAGGTTTGCCTTCATTTGGCAGTAGTAAAAGAGCTTTTACTCCAAAACAGTCATAAGATAAAGTATGCCAAATTAAATATTTAATTTACAATCATGAGATAATTCCCAAATAAGTGTAATCTGCTTTCAGTCTCAGACAGATGCAGTGGAGCCATGAAACAGTGTGTCTGAAGTATGATTTATGAATCAAAACATGGTATCTGTGGTATTGTAATTGTAACATCACTATTAAGTTTTGGAGAATTTGTAGCCTGAAATGTGAAACACAAAGGAAATAGAAATAAACACTTAAAACAAGCATGAGTGCTTTTTGGGATGTTGACAGGTTCTGCATCAAAGAGTCACCAGTAGTAGCTGATGATCCTGCATAATCACAGTTATTAGACTGGAGCCACTGTGGGAATACCAATTACATGGGGACACCAAAAGGACATTTGGAGCATGGCATTGAATTGTCTCATTGAGTTATGCAAATGTGATCCACATTAGCATAAACATATGCATGTGCAGTGTAGCAGTAATGTGCTCATAATACAGCCAAGGCAAATATTGTGTTCACATACAGATACACATGTACAAAAAAGTATAGAACGTCACTATTAAGTGTAGATGTTATATCACTTATGTTATGGTTCACTCATCTCCAGTCATTTAGATTTAAGCAATATTACAAATTGAAATATATTCTCTTTAGGACAGGTTGAATCACATTATAATGCATGTGAGAATGATTTATTTTCAGATTAGACAAACATAGACTAGCCGCTGTATATGTACATGATGCTAATGTGCGGCATAGTGGTGTCACATGACATTATGGTGGTAATGATATGAGGCCTGTGTGGAATGGTACAGAAGTATCAGGAGCTTTAGAGGAGAGGAGGAGAGGGGATCCCTTTGTCGCTGACTGCAGGGTTTGGAACCTATTAAAACCTACTATAGAGGAAACATAAAAACTGAAAAAGCACCCCCTACTAAAAAAGGATTTTTAGCCAATCTCAGGAGCCCACGTGTGTAAAAGAGTTTGCATGTGAATAAAGTTTAAATTATATAATAATATTGATTATACTAACACTATAGTTTTTATCAACCTGTTTGTCATTCAAACAATCAGCCTCACATTTACTCCTGCCTGAATCCTCCGCTTCCATTGTCTTGGACAGAAAGTGAAGAGCACCATATCTCCTACTGTTATTAATTGTCATTCTTAATTAGTAGCAGTCAGGTGTACAGTTAATTCTTAATTGTCTTGTTCATTACACCATCACAAGTTGTATATCACTATAGTTCAACTAAATAATAGGTCTTCATGGGCCTGATTAACAGAAGGAGGGGGATACAAGGTTCAAAGAACCCAAAGTAACTGTTTATAATTAACTTCTACTTCTTCCATCTGTGCATCACTACCATGCGGGCTTTTATTAAGCCAATACATTATGTCTTTGTATGTTTAAATTTACATTGTGTGCACACACTCTTGTTGCATCGATTTGCTGTCCAAATGTTTTCTTCTGTCCCATCATACCCAGATCAGATTCTTGGGCTTGGAAGCAGTGCTGCCCCATAAAATGAATTTACACACAACTTTAGAGTGTATTTTCACTCTGCAACAAATAGCTTTGTCTGTGATGACTCCAGAGAAAACTAGAATGGCACTCAGTGGAGCGCATACCTCCGCCACGGCCCAACAGAAACCAGATTTTTATTTGGATCTGCAAAGATAAAAATCCCTGGATTCCCCTCCCCAATTTCTTTTTTTGGTTCTTTCCTGACCCATACCTTATCTTTCCACCAAGTTTAGTGGTAATCCATTCAAACAAACAGATGATAACATAACCTCCTTGGTGGAGGTAATCAATAGATCAATAATAATTTTACCATCATGACTTTGAACTGATTCTGTTATCCAAAAGTAATCTCATTATGTTGTGGTTATATGGCTGCAGTCTCTATTGATATTTCACTATTTATTTTCTCCTTAATGTATTTGCTGGGTGACTGAACAAAGTCAGGTTGTATCTTCCACAACAACAAGATTCCACAGTTCTTGTTACGTATTTATTGATTTTTTTAATGAGCAAGTTAATTTCAGATTTTTTGGTCAGTGTTTGTGTTTATGTAAATGTTTATTATGTAAATACTGGAGCTACGGTTAAACTTCTCCCTCTCTCTTTTTTTTTTTTTTGCTTTTGAAGTCAATGAACTGGAATCATCCATTACTTTCAGATGAATGGCAAAAGCAAAATTGACTGAGCAGTATGTTGACTGTTATATAACCAGCACACAACAAACACACCAATACCACTGCTGTAAACTCCTGAACCTGCTTCAGTCTCATTGGTGTGTTTGTATCTCAGCGTCTCTATTTTAACATTCTCATCACATTTGTGTTGTGACCCCCGTGCTCGTCTCTGCTTGGATTTTTATTTTGTCATATCTGTTACCACGTTGCCCTCTTCATCAACTTAAGGTGCCATCTGTCAGCTTGCTGCTGAGTGGCAGGTGCCCTGGAGTCTGCCAACCACCTGGTGTATCACAGCACAGATCCATCTGAACACATCATTAACACTAGCATTCTCATTTACTGTACACTTTAAATACAAAAACAAACACAAACATATATATGGTGACAACCTCCTCCCCTGCTCCTGAAGAACACTGCACAGGGTAGGTGTAGTGGGAAGCGTGTAGCACCATAAAACCTAGTGTTGACACTGTCACTGTTGGTGGTATTGTTGTTTAAATCGCACAGTTGCCAGGCAATCTAATTAAACTGTGCAGGCTAGCAAGTGCCGCCTCCCATGAATCAGAGCTAAGTGAAGCTAAGTGAAGGAAAAACGAGGGAATTTGTTCTTCACACGCTTGACAGTGTTTCTCAGGATTAAAACAGAAGAGTAAAGGTGATTCATCACAGCTGTAAATCCAGCGTGGTTTCCCAGATTACCCATTTCTGATGGTGCAGCTGGTATAATTCAAAAAATCTGGAAGTTGATGCTGATGAAGAAGATGATCATGATACTATGGTACAGATCAGCAGAACAGCTGAAAACACCAGGATCCATCCAGAAGGGAGCTGTGAATATCCATAACTGGTTTTATGGAAATCGGGGCTTAATCATAATCAATGCATCCAATCATTCTAGTGTGCAATGTGTGTAAATGAAGAATGTGTCTGAAAACAAATGTTTTTGTCTTTTTCCATGTTTCTCAGATCGAAGGAGAGGAGCAGCAGAGAAGTTTTGAAGAGGGCAAAGCACGTTACCTCCAGAATAAAGCAAAGAGACTTGCAGAGAAGGAACGTCAGCAGTGATGCTGCTGTGTCACACACAATTTAACACCTGCTACCATAGTTTATTTACCCCACACAACACAACGTAGCATATGAAGAAATTAAAATAACCCTCTCTCCTGTTCTGTAACTGTAGCCTCCTGTGAAACCTGAACCTGTGATCCTCTTTAACTGTGCTACACACCAGAATGTCCATATATAGTTGTATACGTGTATAAAAGAAAGAGGGGAGGAGATTTTTAATGATGTATGAAGACTATTTATGAACGCTGTCCATGCAAAGTGACTCTCTGACTATAAATGTAGAAGTAAGAGCTCTATTTTGTTCTAAGCCGATTTTTAAAAATGAAGATTTCGTGATTTGTGAGATGGTGTGAGAGCAAGAAAAATTATGAATAAGTGAGTGAATAATAATGAATAAAAGATCCAAGCGTGAGTCTGGGGCTCTCGTCTTGTGTCCTTGATGGTTTGTTGATGAGGATGATGATGATGTCATTGTTTTGGGCATGCCTCGGCTGAGAGGGCCCACGCTATTCATCTTTTCACCACTGTGTCTTTCACATAGAAATCAGGGGAGCTCAGGGGCTTTGACTCAACTCGCATCTCTCCCACGCCTGCCCGCCCTCCCTCCCCCTCCTTCCTCTCCGCTCTCCTCTTCCTCTCCGCCTGTCTGTCACACTCTCGCTCCAGCATTCGCTCTGCCTCACCTCGCTCCCCTTTCCTTCTCCTGGTTACTGTCACGTCCTCGTCTGTCTCCATACTCTCCAATGTCACTCTCTTGCTCCTCGCATTTACTCTGTTTGTCCCTCTGTCTCGTCTGTTCTTCTCCCTGCTTGAGTCTCTTTGTCCTCTCAGCCTGATAGGAGTGAGAGAGTGGGGAAGAGAAAAACTATCAGTATGTGAATCTTTCTGTACAGAAAGATCAGAACAGTGAATTGAGGTCGGCAGTAGCAGCCGGTGAGAAATCAATATCTATATGGACATGCAGGGACTGAAATTGGCTGTGATTAATAGCCTGACATAAAAACTCCTGTTTAAATATGAACCGGATTGGTTTATCGTTTGTGTACCCAGAACACTGCTGAGACTTAAATCTGATTCATCAGGGGATGGAGTTAGGTTTCAACCCTATGCAACAGATTACAAGGACGAATATGAAATCAAAGTGAAATTCAAGAATATGAAGAACAGAGCTGCACACAGGTTTAAACCTCAGCAGAATGCCTTTTTGTTTGGACCCTTTTGTCCTTCCTGTGCTGTTTTCTGACAAAGACAGAATCTGATTTGTCATTGGATCTTGAAGGTTATTGTTTTGTCCATGAGTCCCTCACACACAGTATGTGTGCTTTTCATTGCCTGTATGGAAATAAAGTTAGGCTCAAGCTGCACTGGGAGAATATATCTATTTTTGACCCCATTGAAGTCGAGGCATCTTGTGGGTGAAGGAGAAAACAGGGAGACGGAATCCAGCTTAGATGGCAAGATAGGACTTCTGGGAAAACCTTTTTTTTAAATTAGCATCATCTTGATGTGCAACATCAGCACAGACACGTCAGATTCTTCCTGGTTTTAAAACATTCAGACATTAGTGTAATTTTCATCATTCAGCGCAGAGTTCATCACTGTGTGGCCATTTCGGATGGCAGCAGGTGGTTTCTATACGTAGAGATACAATATGGTAACCATGGTTACATATGTGGAAGAACAGACTTGGATTAGAAGAGATGACATTATCAGAAATAGATGTTTCTCTGCCAGGTAGCAACTAAAAAGATGGAATCTGCTTTAAAATCACATCATTGAAGTTGGATGTAGATATATATGTATATGTATATATTCTCAGAGAAAGTTGATAATTTGAGTGAATGAAACCACATCAAACTTCTTTTAATCACCACAGATTTATGGAATCCAGGCAAAAGCTGAACTAATATTTCCAATCATGTCTTTGCATTTAAATTCAGGGATAGCAGTCTTCTCACTGTTGTATCCCTGCAGACTGTCAGGGCTATTCGGACGATGAATGAAGCTCTGATGCAAGAGAAAATCCATTAAAGTGTCTGAATGAAGGATAAAATGATAAAGTGAGGTGGTAGAAAAATCCTCTGCTTTCGTTTCAGAGTGACCCGCTTTGCATTTTCTCCTCGCTCTACAAAAAGTGCGAGAACGTCTGCATCGTCTGTCATTCCTCTCTCAACAAGGGCTCCGCTGCACGAACACAGAGGCCTGAACCATATGTGCACATTATACTTCAAGGTCATGTGGAAATAAGTTTGTCGATAACTGCGCAAGGCACCGCTCACGTCAGGTTTGTTGGCAGAAGTTTCAGATGCTCAAAATCTGAGTCTCTAATGTTTCCATTTTGTTTGTAGAAGTTGTTTTGTTTTGCTCTTCCTGGAACACCTTCACAGAGCGAAGATATGAGTCCTACATTCAGACCTCTCCTGTTATCTGGGCTCGCAGCCAGCAGGGCTTTCCTCGCAGAGGAGTAGGTGAGGGGCCGTACTTTGTCTGGCCTGGAACCTCCCTTTCTCACAGCCGCAGGGGACCTCGCAAGGAGTACACTACTAAATTAGGCTGCCTCTTGACTACACAGGTACAAGAACCCCTTCACACGGAGAGGTGGTGATCCTGGGAGGCCGTGGAAAAGTAGATCATAAGGGAGCAAATCAGCAGGACATTTAAAACAGTGTTAAGTATAAAACAGCTGCTGTGTCTGTGCTTATGTGTGTGTGGGTGTGTGTGTGAGAAAGAGATGTGATGTGATGTGTGATCATGGAGCTGACGGTGAGAGTGGAGGGCATCCCGGTGCCAGTGGAGCCAGTGGGCGGGAATGCCTTCTGTTACTTTTTACTTCCAGGTCAACTAGCATCACACAGGAGGAGCTGGAGATGGACAGTCTGCTTCTTTTACCAAACTCTGTTGCCCTGTCTGATTCTTATGATGCACTTATTTACAGCTAAATAAGAAAAAATAAAGAATCCTAGAGAGGCTGCATGTCCTGCACTTATCCATGAGCCAGCAAATCTCAGAATCTACACGTTTCTAACACAAGCTTTATCCAAATGTGTTTAGTTTACCACCAGAAATTGGTTAGATTTATTCATCCATGTGTTGCAACAAAAATGTATTTTCAAACCTTACATTTGTATGAGTCATCTACATATTATACCTCAGAGAAAGCTTGTTCGAGTACAGTGAAAGACCATGTTACCATCAGGACATGGTTGGATGGAGCTGGTGGAGTCCAACATGACGAGTGCTCAGACAATGTGTCAGGTCTCAAACAAATCTCCTGTTTATACCAGTCACCTGAACCTCCTTTTGGAATTTAGAAACCTTATTTCACAAAACATGCACAAATTCATGGCAATGCTCAGTGTAAGGTAAAAGTGTTATGGGATATCTGTTTTGGTAAAACAGTGAACCCTAATTATTATTCTTTGTTTTCACACATGAAAACAAGCAACAATTCTCAATGTAAAAACAGCTCATCCAAACTGTAGTTAAGATTCAACTTGTGTAAAACAGTCTAAAGGTTTGTTGTAATAGTTTTCTTTATCTCAGTCATTAGGCTTTGCAAGAAAAATGTCATGTAACTGACAGTAATGTCAATTTTAAAGCAGATACTGCAGATTCAAACCTTTCCAGGTTTGCATTTTGATATCATGTATTTGATCTTGATCTAAAATAATCAAATTAAATCTTCCTCTTAAACATATGCAATAAATGTGTCCACCTTTAATTATTGACTGGAAAGCTCAGGAGGAAAGTTTCTCCTCTGCCTCTATAGACTTAGGACCTTCTCCTGCCTGTATATAAGCATATGTATGTATTTATGTAAATACACTGCACTGGCAGCTCCCAGGTGTGATAGTGTGTGTAGGCTATCCATTTTAATAAACAGGAAGCAGGGAGAGCATGAAGCACTCATCGCACCCATCCACCAAACAAATGAAAATGAAAATAATTCTTATAATGACGACAAAAACTGAGGCGCCAGGGACCTCTCTGTGTCTCGCCTCTCATGCAGGGTCTATTAGTTTTCTCGCTGGGTACAATCTAAGCCCTGAGGGGAGGAAGCTGCCCATACAGAAATCATCCAGACTTACATAACAATCGTATAAGGTCAATGAAAAGGGCCTATTTACAGGAGCATGAATTACAGAAGAAAATAATGTGCATGAATTCCATTGATACATGAGGCCGATCCTGGATGGATCCAATAGAAGCTCAAGATATGTCTATTATAACCACCTCTTTTTTTTTCTGGTGTCGTCTGATCAAAGCTTAATGAAGTCCCCTCTTTTGTGTTGAAATGTTTTTTTATCCCACACATAATAAGACAAAAATTCAGAATGAGGTATAGAGAAGAGAATAAAAAAGGCAGAGTATAAGTACACAATATACACCTTTCACTACAGACGGAAAATATTTTTTGTAGAGAAATGTACTTGAGTAAAATGCAGTAGTACACAATGATCACATGATAATGTGTACATTTATCGACTGTTATAAATATAAAGGCAGGTATGGTATAAAATGAATATAAAATTGCATGTATTTTACATTTGGAATAGTGCTGTCGAGTCGGACAGTAGTGAGAATGTGTCATTATTCTCAGTGGGTCAGTGAAGGTAGCTGTGTTCCTTCATTCACAGGTTAGAGGACCTGTTCTGTTTTCAGATCCCTGGTGGAGCTTCGTCAAAATGACTGACCTCTTTCTTTTTCATTAATTATTTCTCATTGCATCTCTCTCACTCCCTCTCTCTGTCTTTCTCTCACTCTAACTCCCTCTTTCTCTCATTCACTCTCTCTCACTCCCCCTATCTGTCTTTCTCTCACTCTTACTCCCTCTTTCTCTCACTCCCTCTCTCTCACCCCCCATGTCTTTCTCTACCTCCCTCTCGCTCTCATTCCATCTCTCTCATTCTCTCTCTCCCTCTCACACACACTCTCTCTCCCTGATTCTTTCTCTCTCTCGCACTCCCTCTCTCTCACCCCCTGTCTTTCTCTACCTCCCTCTCGCTCTCAGTCCATCTCTCTCATTCTCTCACTCCCTCTCACACAATTTCTCTCTATCTCACTCCTTCTCCCACACTCCCTCTCTCTCTCTCTCTCCCACGTCGGGTCTGAGCAGCGCGCACGAGCCCTGAGCTGTCGGGAGCGCGCTCAGCGAGTCATGCCTCGTCCGTCGCTGGCGTCGCCTTCAGTGTCAGAGGAAATAAGAGAGAGAGAAGAAGAAGAAGAAAAAGAAAAGGAGGAAGAAGAAGAAAATCCGCCTTTTTAGCCCCAGTCCCACGCTTTCCTCAGGTTTGGTGCGCGGAGGAGAAGCAGAGAATTCAAGCCAACACGTGTATGATTGGTCTTCCTCCGGTTTGTTTTGCGTCAGTGAGACAAAAGAGGGCAGGAAGACACGAGAGGAGTACAGCTGGT